AATACCATCTCAGCCTTTTATTTACCATTTTCTCTAACACTTTACATATAATATTGGTTAAAGATATTGGTCGATATGACTCAGGTGATGTCCGGGATTTCTCAGGTTTAAGAAGTGGTAGTATTATTGCTTCGGACCAAGTTGATGGGAGAATTTTACCTTTGATATGGTATTTTTTCAAGCCTCGATTAAGTTTTTCTAAACCAAATCCGTGAAGAGCATTCTTTATTGTAATATATTCTTCTTCCTTTTTATAATCGATTCTGCTTGTTTATTGGCGGATGAATACCGCTATGGAAGGTTGTCACTTGATCTCCTGCGCGGTAGTCCGATACTTATGGCAATTGGTGACTTATCTCTTGCTATTTTTACGACACGGGTCTCCTCCATTTTGCTTATGTGGTTATTCCATTGTTTTTTCTGTTTTGTGTCCATTCATTTATAGACCGGACGTTACATTTTCTTCTAATGTCTTCAATTGTCTTTCGATCTCTCAGGGTATTTCCTATAATTCTTCTCAGTACTTTCATCTCCGCCGTTCCCAGTAGCCTTTGTCTTGTGGCTGTGTCGGTTCTTGTTTCTGAGGCATATGTCATTATTGGTCTTACACATCCTTATTGTAATATATGTATTGTTATATAAAAAATATTAATCTATTTAGAGTTCATAATGCGCAGAGTCTTAGATGATTGGGAAAGAGGAATAAATTTAGTTGGTGTGAAGATATCTAACTTGCACTTCGCACACGACACTACAATTCTAGCCTTACTCCAGAAGAAATTACTAACTTATTAATATCTTGGAGTCTCTATCTTTGTCAACCATTTTTCACTCCTGAATGTAGGTCTCTCCCAATTGATTCCATCTTTCTCTATCGTGAGCCCATCTAATCCTCTGTTTGCCTGCCACGGCTCTTATGTCATCTACCCATATTTTTTGAGGTCTTCCCATGCTTCTTCTTGTCGTCCTTGGTCTCCATTCTCGAATTCTCCGTGTCCACATGTTGTCTTCCACAATATCCCTGATCTTCGTTCTACGTCTTATCTCGGTGTTTCTAATCTTGTCTCTCAGTGATATTCCAAGTATGAATCGTTCCATTGCTCTTTGCGTTGTTTCTAATTTTTTAGCAGATTTTTGGTAAGGGCTACTGTCTCCTAGCCCTAGGTACAAACTGGTAGTATGCGTGTGTTATACACCTTTTTCTTCAAGTTTACAAGAATGGAGGTGTTATTCAAGATATATGCTAGTTTGCAGAAAGCGCCCCATGTCAGTTGTGTTCTTCTTTTAATTTCAACATTTTGATTTGGTTTTCCTAGTTTGATGATATGCCCTAGATATATGTTCAACATATTCTATGGTATGATTTTGTATTGTTATATTTGTCTGATCTCGGCTCAGTATTTTTGTTTTACTGTAGTTTATTTTTAAGCCTACCGCTCCTGAAACTTCATTTAATTAAAAATAAATTTTACATATAAAAATACCTTGGGAGTTCTAGTTAACAACACAGGTAGCTGTGAACCTAAAATTCGAATATGCATTCAACTAGCAAGAGCAGCAATGATTTGACTAAATGGGGTCTGGCGGGATCATCACATTACTATGACAGACAAGAAGAGACTGGTTTCGACTCTAGTCTTTTTAATATTTTACAAATGATCACAAAATAGAGCGGTTGGTGGTCCAAAAAAGGCCTCAGAGTTAACGAAAAAGCGGCAGATCTCCACAGCGATTGAAAGATATCACGAAAAAGCTTCTCAACAAGCAGTATATTGGGGCAGTACATGTAACAGATGACCGAGACCAGTGGAAAAGTATCATTGAAGCTGCTGAAGCTCAACGATGAACCACAATACATCTGCCAAGACGTTAATGACTGTGATGATGATTTTTTATTGTACCTCTATCGAATGAGTCACAATAAAAAATTTTTATCTTGCTTTAGCATATATTATTACCGACTTTATGTTATGAGATTGTTTCGAACAAGACCTTGATTTGCTAAAGCCTGCTTGGTACTTGCCCAGTTGTTGATTCAAAAGAAACTCACGGACGTTGTGTTAGACTGCCCTGTAAATACGGACACTTTTTGTGCTTTGGATCAGACATCGAAAGTTTTAATCAGTAAGTTGATTTAAGTTCTTTTTATTATTTTCAATGTTTATACATATATTTTTATATAGATATGAATTACAGGAAGGAGAAACAAAGATTCATCATGTAGAACAACGATCTGGATGTAGTGATACTGAACAAGAATTTGAAGGCGATCAATCAGAGGAAGATAAGGTTAGTTTCAGAAGACAGCCATACTTTATCTTAAACACTAATTAACAAAGTGGAAAAAACATTGTCCACCAAATAATGTAAGAACACGCAATACCAATATATTTGTACGATTGCCAGCTATAAAACAATTTGCTTAAACTCACTTAACACCTATTGACATCTAGAATTGCAGTTTTCATGAAGAAATGCTAAATCTAGTTGTTGACTGTACAAATATGCAAATTGAGAGTGTTACACAGATTTCAGTAGACAAAGAGATGCGAAACCGACCGACATTGCCGAAATCGAAGCCTAATTGGTATGTTTGCTGGTATTAGAAAAACAAAGCACATGAATTTAGGGAATCTTTGGAGAACAGATGGCACTGGCATTGAAACTGTTCGGCTTGTAATGACTAAGCCTAGATTTCAATTTCTTTTACAATGTCTGTGATTTGATAAAATTTATACAAGACATGAAAGCATACAAGTAGATAAACTGGCTCCAATACGAATATTGCTAGAAAAATTTAACAGTACTTTAAAAAATGCCATTCTCATTCTGTTTATGTTAGTATAGATGACAAACTTTTGGAACGAAAATGCGATTTTGCAAAACAGTTCTGTCACAGCCATTTGGAAGTTTACGGCGAAAACAACCAAATGGCCCTTTTCAAGTTATTAGAGCGAAGCAAGAAGTACTAGAAAGACTTTGGGCACATATTTATGGGAGTAATAGGAATGTTACTGAGGATAATTGAATTTGTAGTGTGCCTGCAGTCGGTAGCCTTAAATTAAAAAATATAACTTAAGTAGGCACTATTCGAAAAAATATGATTTGTACAAAATAATGCATTAGCTCATCAATTTTTGATTTTTACGAAGGGATAACCTTTGTTTCGCATATTCCAAAAAAAATTCAAACGTCCTATTTAAGTCTACAATGGATTATGGAGATGATATTGATCCTACCACAAACCTGAGATAATAATTACATACAATGAGACAAAGAGCGAAGTAGATATGTGGTGGATCAATATAATATAGTTGCGTAATTGAAGAAACTCAAACAGCAAGTAAATAATTTATACTGCAACTCTTAATGTTACTATACTAACCAGTGATTACAAATATACCAGTACGGGCTATGTCTACCAGCTTACCCAGAACCATTAGAATGGGGCTTACCAGCGGAACAAGTACAATTCATAACACCCGTAACTCATGATCGCTGTGCTGTTTGTGATTGGAGGAAAAATAGGAAAACAAAATATTACTACCAAATATGCACAAAATATCTGTGTTTGGAACATGTTAATCAATTGTGTAATGTTATGAAAATGTTAACTAATGTTTTTTTTTTATTTTTTTGGTTACAATTATTATTTATCTTCATTTTTGATTTGTTTTGTCTATTGCTCAACAAAACAAAATAGTAAAAAATTATTTAAGAATTACAGTATGTAAATAAAGTGATTGAAGAAAGGCTATAAAATATCTTTTAAAAGGATGATTACTTATTACTTCTTTCTAACTATTTTAGTTATACATATTTTCTGCATAGTTACATAAAGAGATAATATCATTCGGTTGAACGTGCCGATGCTGATAGGAATCTGCTCTTGCCTCTTGCTCTTATAAGCAAAACCTTTGTCGACGTTGCAAAATTAAAATGTTGACAACTTTCTCTCGAACATGATACGTCGGATCCGACGATGTCGATATTATTCTTTAGGTTCAGAAGTCAGCAAAACGTTTTCACTGTTGATCGATATAAACATTTTTTTTTCTACGTTTTCTTTAATCGATCTAGCTTAATACCTTTCGAGGACTTGTAAAAATCGTGACATTCTTCTCCAATTGATTTATGTAAGGATGAAACCCAAAAAAGGACTGTGGAAGTTAACTTGAAGGTTACCAGTGTATTCCCATACATGCTGCGATAGAGAAATCAACCATCATTATGCCGTAAAAGTACATGCTTACGATACAGGGTTATTGTACATTAATAAATGGAATTAAAAGGTACTAGGAATTAAAAAAAAAGTACAGGAGAAGATAACCGCACACGTTTTAACCTAAAAAAAAAACACATCTTAAAATATTGTGTTGACTGGTTAATTTTTTTCTAAAAATATCTAATCTAGTAGGTAAGTATACACCGAGAGAGAATAAGAAATATGATTTAAGCTAAACTTCGTTACTAGGAAACGGACAGGAACAGGAAGTGGGTGAGACGCGTGCTTATCAAATCTATCGAGGAATTTTCTAATTATTGTTATCGAAAAAACCAAAAACTATTGCGGGCTAGGTCCTTAATGCATAATGTGATTTGTGGTGGTAAAACCCGAACCGTTCCAAAATTTGAATCAAAGAATACAGTATCCATATTACACGTGTTAGTCTGGGGTTACGAAAAACAAAATAATATCTACAAAATGCTATTTTTGATAATCTGTTCACTAGAGATAAAATACTTCTTTCTTCCTTTGTGTGCGTTCCCAATTAGCTGTTATTTGTTTGGGTCTTGGTATATACAACATGTTTCTAGAAAGTATTTTTTGCAAATCTAACCAAAATATATTTAATAAATATTTAATATTTATAGACCAGGCGATCTGTGCAAAACAGAGCTTAAACCAACATGGATTAGTACACAAACAATTAGGCATTCTTTAGGCGTTCTTCTTACTAAATAATTACCAAAAAATTAAGATATTTAAAATATTATTATTAAACCAATTTTTTTTTTAATTGTTTTTCCAGATTGAGAGCCTCGATTTTCTTGACGACGTCCATTCCTTCGACTACGCTACCGAATACGATGTGCCTGTTGTCCAGCCAAGAAGTCTTGACGGTAATGATGAAGAATTGGGATCCGTTGGTGTCTGGACCAGCATTGGCCATTGACATTTCATCTCCGAATTTGTTTCCATAGATTGATTTTCCTCCGGTACCGTTGTGGTTGGTAAAGTCGCCTCCATGGCACATGAAGTTGGGAATGACACGGTGGAAGGTGGATCTTTTGTAACCAAAGTCTTTTTCGCCGGTGGACAAGACCAGGAAGTTTTCGGTTGTTTTGGGAACCACGTCGTTTCTTAACTCGATAATGATTCTTCCAACAGGCTCGTTGGAATACGACATTTCAGTACGACATTGCTCCATAATGAATTGTTTTAAAATTATAAAAGAAATGTGGAAAAAATCGATGTTTTTATTAATTTTTAAATATTTTAATTTGTTTATTAATGTTCCCCACCTATTTAAGAGGGAGATCAATTATTATTACCAAAGTTATCACCAATTTCTGCAAAAATCCGAATGCCACCTCTTACATCTGAGATCATCCCTGGTCTATTAATAAAACGTTTTTTTTACAACTTTCCTCAAATATGTCTCTTTTCTGTTAGAATTTACAGCAACTGATAAAAAAACAAACAAATCCGAAACCTTGGTTTTTATTTAATCAATTATCAAGCGGATAAGCAAAATTTTTGGATGAAGCCATAAATTACTACAATAAATACACTTCGTGTTATAAAATTGATAACAGGGTCGAGTGTATTAGTTAAAATGTCAAATGATCCTTGAATACGTTCTTTACTAGATGTTTACAAAAACTAACATCAATTAACGTTCGACATTTTATATATTTCGATATAATTTATATAAAATGTAAATCTTTGGTTAAAAACAAAACATTTTATGAGTAAACGCTAAAGAATTTGACGAATTTTCTTATTTGGCATTCATGTTATTGATCTAAAAGCTTTTGAATGTACCTTATATTTTCTTCTACATAAATGCAAATATAACAGAACATACAAAAAGAGCTTATCTGTCATCATACTACAACGTTTTTTCATCATGACAAACATAAACATTTCAAGCTAACGCCATATTAACTCCATTTTTTGTGAGATTTGCGTTTTGTATTTGATTTTGATTTTAATCATATTACAAGCTGGTTTACAAAATTACTAGAATATACATTTTGATTGTAATAGCCAATTATATACACAAACGTGAATGCGTCGAACATACGCTATCACGGCTATTATGATTTGGATAATGCAACTGTAGTTCTAGAATCGTTTAGTCAAAAATTAACGCTAGTTAACACAATATAAAGTTTGGATATTACTATAAATCAGATGACAGTGGCGAAGAATTTGTTGGGACCTTGTGAGTCATACAGCTTGGAAGTGCAAACAACCCTTTAAACAACTAATGAAGCACGACAAAGCCACTGTGTTATGTGTCCCGGCATAAACAAAATACTCTGTTGACTTAACTAAATATTCATTTGTCCATTAGACAACAACGTTTCTGCTTACTTGCTAATATGACAGTATTTTTACAACCGTGTGTACGTCCTAGTCTTCTCAAGAATTTCTCTCCGTTACCCAAATAATAACCGCGAGAAAAATGGCAAAAATGGCCTTACGCAGTAGGCCCATAGGAATTAGAACGAAAGGAAGATCGAGGACAAGTTGAGAGTGACTTAAAGGAATTTGTGTTTTGTACTGGAGAAGCACAAAACAAAAACAGATGGAGAAGTATAGTCAATAACTTTGGTGAAAAAAAATAGCTTAAAGTGATACAAATGTTACGTTTGGCCCTAGGGCATGCAATTGTGAACTGTACTCACTCAGAATGCTTTAGTTATTAAGAATCTAATATTAGGAATTAACGAAAAGGTACTACTTACTATTAACCACTAATGACTAGTTTTAATCACAAAAATACCAAGTACAGAGTACAAGAATTCCTTTAATTTTTAAACTGTTACTAAAAATGAAAGAAAATTATACTTAAGAGAGTTTTCTATTGGGGTCTATCATCGATATTAATATAGCATGGAAAAACTGAACCAGGTATGGCCCTGAAATAAGGACTACTTCTTATTAATTTTAATAAATGAATTACATAACCTTGTACAATATTTCACACAGAAGCTTGTTAATAACTCCACCTACTCGATACAAGTTCTAAAAATAAAAACAACAAATATTTGTTAATTTATAAATAGACTGTAACGACTTTAATTGTTACATAAAATATTGAGAGCGGCGAAATAACTTACAAGAGTAATCCCAGTCAATAAAGTGATGATTTTCTTTAGATCTGCAATTATGTGTGGTAGGACAACAATAAAACGAAATACTCAATTGTCCTGATTTTGGTAACCATTTCTCTTGCATTGTAAGTCCGGCTTTCTAAGCTTAATGCTTATGGTAAATAATAAAAAAAGGAATTTTTTCTCTAAATATAAACCAAATATGCAAAAATTAGTCATTTGACACTTTTTTATGCTTTCTTTTACTTTTTTTTAATTTGATGCTTTTTGCATTTAACATAATTTTTGATTATATTCTTCAAAACATTGTCTATAAAAGCCCGTCAAAAAATAACATTTTTTCTAATCTTTATTTGTCAATATTTTCTCTCATACACTCACCGGCAAAATTAACGGAACACCTTAAAATTGGGACATTTTAGATGTCTCGAATTTCCTAAACCTGTTGTCCGATTTTAGTGGTTTTTTAGTATGTTATAGGTATATTATTTAAGAATATCGATGTAATAATATTGTTGCTAGACAGGTCAATGTAATTTTATACCGGGTGTAACAATTCTACTGTGTTTTTTCCTTAAAGTTCGGAACACCCTGTGGAATATTCTAGCATATATAAAATATTGAAATTAAAACTTAATTATAGCCTCAGGCTTTCTTAACATTTTCTGTTTTGATTAATTTGCTTATGTTTGATGATAAAAAAGTTAGGTACGTTAACAATTAGCCATGTTTTTCATCAATAAATCCTCATTTTCTGCTTAGTTTAAAAACAAGCCTAAAGTAGGCTATGAGAAGTTAACAATTTAATGCACACACCGGCAAATTTAAAGGAACCTGTTATTAATGCAATATTTCTTTATATTTGTATTTTATAGACTATATCTACATAGCTTTGAAAGCTCCTTGTCACAAGAAAGTCTTAAATGTCAAAATGTCAAATTAATTTGTTTATTTGTATTGTGTTTTACAGTTTACAGTCATTCTGTCTGTTCATAACAAGTACAAACTTGTATTTAATTGAGCGCACAATAAGAAAGAGACTTAAAGAAGCCGGTCTCAAGTCATATGTGCCAATAAAAGCTCCCAGACTCCAGAGACACCATCGTTTAGCACGACTACAATTTGGTCGAGTACATCAAAATTGGAATGATAACCACTGGAGTCAAATTCTCTTTACGGACGAGAGCCGTTTCTGTGTAAATTACATCGACGGTAGAGAAAGATTGTATTAACGCCAAGGAGAACGAAATGCCCCTTTCAATTTTACTACGACCGTACCTTTTGGTGGAGGTTCAATTATGGCGTGGGGCGGTATATGTTTGGGAGCAATAACAGAGTTAGTGGTGATTGATGGTGGTGCATTAACAGCAGATAAGTATATCAGAGATATTCTCCAAGACCATGTGGTACCTTTTTCACCATATATTGGCGAAAATTTTATTTTATAGTGTAAGAGTGTAAGTGTAAGATATTTCTTATTACAAGTGGGTATAACAACGATGAATTGGCCAGCTTGTTCCCCAGACCTAAACCCGATAGAGGATATGTGGGACATGCTAGGCAGAAAACTTAGGGCACGGGTTCCTGCTATTCAAAACAGAGAAGAAGTCACAATTGCAAAAGATTGAGGAATGGGAGAGGCTGCCCAACAACTGATCGATAGCGTTATCAGAAGTATGAGAAGACGAATAACTGCAGTTGTAAGGGCTCGTAGGGGAAACACACGCTATTAAAGCCAAAAAAATGCATAAAAAACAATTTAAGTTCAAACTGTACAATAAAGTTAATGCATTTAAAATCCGTATTTTGTTGAGTCTGACATCTTTGTGTTTTATTTCTTCTTAAACAGGTTTTATATTTTACTACCATTGTAATATAAATTCAAAATACTTCACCAACGTTCGTATTATGATATTATCTAAACAGTATATAGACTAGAGAGAAAATACTCAGATTTTATGGTTGTTCCTTTAAATATGCTGGTGAAACTAAGAAGAAAATGAGCATTTATTGATGAAAAACATGGCTAGTTGTTAACGTACCTAACTTTTTTATTATCCAACACAAGCAAATGAATCAAAAAAGAAAATGTTAAGAAAGCCTGAGACTATAATTGAGCTTTAATTTCAATATTTTATATATGCTAGACTAGTCCACAGGGTGTTTCGAACTTTAAGGAAAAAACACAGTATGATTGTTACACCCGGTATAAAATGACGTTGACCTGTCTATCAACAATATTATTTCATTGATATTCTTAAATAATATACCTATAACATACTAAAAAAATCACCAAAATCGGACAACAGGTTTAGGAAATTCGAGTCATCAACATGTCCCATTTTTAAGGTGTTCCGTTAATTTTGCCGGTGAGTGTATCTATGCACGTATAAAATTAGATACTTCTGGGACTTCCCCGTTCTCGTTGTTTCGTCAATAGATAAAACACCGTTGAGGTTAAGACTGTAAGTGTTAAGACATTTAATTTAGTGTTGCTTTTCATACGCATTATAGAGGTATTGGGTTTAATATTTGAAGACTACAGGGGGAAAACGCTGTAAGTCAATTTTTATCGATTTTTTGATGAATACATTTTTCGATAGTTGGATATACGTAGTACAATCCACAAATATCAAACAAAATAAAAGTGCAATAAGTCAAACGTTACAAACGAATAAAAAAATGCTGTACAATGGAAGAGCGCTGCAAGTTAAGATTAAACTAAGCAACAATGCTATAAGTCAGATTTAGGTGCTCAATATAAGTATCAATATTATCATAATCACAGTTTGTTTTTTAACGTTTGGTAAGTTTGAACTATTGTTTATTAATTTGGAAAGTGAGAACAGCGAAATTGAAGAGGCTTTACAGTTAAAAAGTATAAGAAAACGAAAAAAGTTTTGGGCGAATACGTGATGTAGCTAAAGCGCTAAAAGTGCAAACTCACGAAACAGGCGAGGACTGCCGTTGCAAACGTTATCAGTGTTTTGAAAATATAACGGTTGAACAAAGAAATACAATTATTCGTAATTTTAATTCTATGCTGAATTGG